TACCCTTACCGTTTTTTTTTTTGGCGCGAAAAATTAAGTTTCTCCAATCTTCCCAAATTCTGATAGAGGCCATGAGACTTAGACCTGAGTGCAAAAATGGAGCTCTAGCCCCTTCCAGAGCTGAGATATCGAAACTCAAAAATTCGGCCCGAAAAAAAAACGACAGTGGTACCCCCTTACGTTTTTTTTGGGCGAAAAAATTAAGTTTCTCCAATCTTCCAAATTCTGGTGATAGAGGGCCATGAGACTTAGACCTGAGTGCAAAAATGGAGGCTCTAGCCCTTCCAGAGCTGAGATATCGAAACTCAAAAATTCGGCCGAAAAAAAAAACGACAGTGGTACCCCTTACGTTTTTTTTTTGGGCGAAAAATTAAGTTTCTCCAATCTTCCCCAAATTCTGATAGGGCCATGAGACTTAGACCTGAGTGCAAAAATGGAGGCTCTAGCCCTTCCAGAGCTGAGATATCGAAACTCAAAAATTCGGCCCGAAAAAAAAAACGACAGTGGTACCCCTTACGTTTTTTTTTTGGCGAAAAAATTAAGTTTCTCCAATCTTCCCAAATTCTGATAAGGGCCATGAGACTTAGACTGAGTGCAAAAATGGAGGCTCTAGCCCCTTCCAGAGCTGAGATATCGAAACTCAAAAATTCGGCCCGAAAAAAAAAACGACAGTGGTACCCCTTACGTTTTTTTTTTTGGGCGAAAAATTAAGTTTCTCCAATCTTCCCAAATTCTGATAGAGGGCCATGAGACTTAGACCTGAGTGCAAAAATGGAGGCTCTAGCCCCTTCCAGAGCTGAGATATCGAAACTCAAAAATTCGGCCCGAAAAAAAAAAACGACAGTGGTACCCCTTACGTTTTTTTTTTTTGGGCGAAAAATTAAGTTTCTCCAATCTTCCCAAATTCTGATAGAGGGCCATGAGACTTAGACCTGAGTGCAAAAATGGAGGCTCTAGCCCCTTCCAGAGCTGAGATATCGAAACTCAAAAATTCGGCCCGAAAAAAAAACGACAGTGGTACCCCTTACGTTTTTTTTTTGGGCGAAAAATTAAGTTTCTCCAATCTTCCCAAATTCTGATAGAGGGCCATGAGACTTAGACCTGAGTGCAAAAATGGAGGCTCTAGCCCTTCCAGAGCTGAGATATCGAAACTCAAAAATTCGGCCCCGAAAAAAAACGACAGTGGTACCCTTACGTTTTTTTTTTTTGGGCGAAAAATTAAGTTTCTCCAATCTTCCCAAATTCTGATAGAGGGCCATGAGACTTAGACCTGAGTGCAAAAATGGAGGCTCTAGCCCTTCCAGAGCTGAGATATCGAAACTCAAAAATTCGGCCCGAAAAAAAAAACGACAGTGGTACCCTTACGTTTTTTTTTTTGGGCGAAAAATTAAGTTTCTCCAATCTTCCCAAATTCTGATAGAGGGCCATGAGACTTAGACCTGAGTGCAAAAATGGAGGCTCTAGCCCCTTCCAGAGCTGAGATATCGAAACTCAAAAATTCGGCCCGAAAAAAAAAAACGACAGTGGTACCCCTTACGTTTTTTTTTTTGGGCGAAAAATTAAGTTTCTCCAATCTTCCCAAATTCTGATAGAGGGCCATGAGACTTAGACCTGAGTGCAAAAATGGAGGCTCTAGCCCCTTCCAGAGCTGAGATATCGAAACTCAAAAATTCGGCCCGAAAAAAAAAACGACAGTGGTACCCCTTACGTTTTTTTTTGGGCGAAAAATTAAGTTTCTCCAATCTTCCCAAATTCTGATAGAGGGCCATGAGACTTAGACCTGAGTGCAAAAATGGAGGCTCTAGCCCCTTCCAGAGCTGAGATATCGAAACTCAAAAATTCGGCCGAAAAAAAAAAACGACAGTGGTACCCCTTACGTTTTTTTTTTTTGGGCGAAAAATTAAGTTTCTCCAATCTTCCCAAATTCTGATAGAGGGCCATGAGACTTAGACCTGAGTGCAAAAATGGAGGCTCTAGCCCCTTCCAGAGCTGAGATATCGAAACTCAAAAATTCGGCCCGAAAAAAAAAACGACAGTGGTACCCCTTACGTTTTTTTTTTTGGGCGAAAAATTAAGTTTCTCCAATCTTCCCAAAATTCTGATAGAGGGCCATGAGACTTAGACCTGAGTGCAAAAATGGAGGCTCTAGCCCCTTCCAGAGCTGAGATATCGAAACTCAAAAATTCGGCCCGAAAAAAAAAACGACAGTGGTACCCCTTACGTTTTTTTTTTGGGCGAAAAATTAAGTTTCTCCAATCTTCCCAAATTCTGATAGAGGGCCATGAGACTTAGACCTGAGTGCAAAAATGGAGGCTCTAGCCCCTTCCAGAGCTGAGATATCGAAACTCAAAAATTCGGCCCGAAAAAAAAACGACAGTGGTACCCCTTACGTTTTTTTTTTGGGCGAAAAATTAAGTTTCTCCAATCTTCCCAAATTCTGATAGAGGGCCATGAGACTTAGACCTGAGTGCAAAAATGGAGGCTCTAGCCCCTTCCAGAGCTGAGATATCGAAACTCAAAAATTCGGCCCGAAAAAAAAACGACAGTGGTACCCCTTACGTTTTTTTTTTGGGCGAAAAATTAAGTTTCTCCAATCTTCCCAAATTCTGATAGAGGGCCATGAGACTTAGACCTGAGTGCAAAAATGGAGGCTCTAGCCCCTTCCAGAGCTGAGATATCGAAACTCAAAAATTCGGCCCGAAAAAAAAAACGACAGTGGTACCCCTTACGTTTTTTTTTTTGGGCGAAAAAATTAAGTTTCTCCAATCTTCCCAAATTCTGATAGAGGGCCATGAGACTTAGACCTGAGTGCAAAAATGGAGGCTCTAGCCCCTTCCAGAGCTGAGATATCGAAACTCAAAAATTCGGCCCGAAAAAAAAAACGACAGTGGTACCCCTTACGTTTTTTTTTTGGGCGAAAAATTAAGTTTCTCCAATCTTCCCAAATTCTGATAGAGGGCCATGAGACTTAGACCTGAGTGCAAAAATGGAGGCTCTAGCCCCTTCCAGAGCTGAGATATCGAAACTCAAAAATTCGGCCCGAAAAAAAAACGACAGTGGTACCCCTTACGTTTTTTTTTTTGGCGAAAAATTAAGTTTCTCCAATCTTCCCAAATTCTGATAGAGGGCCATGAGACTTAGACCTGAGTGCAAAAATGGAGGCTCTAGCCCCTTCCAGAGCTGAGATATCGAAACTCAAAAATTCGGCCCGAAAAAAAAAACGACAGTGGTACCCCTTACGTTTTTTTTTTTGGCGAAAAATTAAGTTTCTCCAATCTTCCCAAATTCTGATAGAGGGCCATGAGACTTAGACCTGAGTGCAAAAATGGAGGCTCTAGCCCCTTCCAGAGCTGAGATATCGAAACTCAAAAATTCGGCCCGAAAAAAAAACGACAGTGGTACCCCTTACGTTTTTTTTTTTTGGGCGAAAATTAAGTTTCTCCAATCTTCCCAAATTCTGATAGAGGGCCATGAGACTTAGACCTGAGTGCAAAAATGGAGGCTCTAGCCCCTTCCAGAGCTGAGATATCGAAACTCAAAAATTCGGCCCGAAAAAAAAACGACAGTGGTACCCCTTACGTTTTTTTTTTTGGGCGAAAAATTAAGTTTCTCCAATCTTCCCAAATTCTGATAGAGGGCCATGAGACTTAGACCTGAGTGCAAAAATGGAGGCTCTAGCCCCTTCCAGAGCTGAGATATCGAAACTCAAAAATTCGGCCCGAAAAAAAAAACGACAGTGGTACCCCTTACGTTTTTTTTTTGGGCGAAAAATTAAGTTTCTCCAATCTTCCCAAATTCTGATAGAGGGCCATGAGACTTAGACCTGAGTGCAAAAATGGAGGCTCTAGCCCCTTCCAGAGCTGAGATATCGAAACTCAAAAATTCGGCCCGAAAAAAAAACGACAGTGGTACCCCTTACGTTTTTTTTTTTGGCGAAAAATTAAGTTTCTCCAATCTTCCCAAATTCTGATAGAGGGCCATGAGACTTAGACCTGAGTGCAAAAATGGAGGCTCTAGCCCCTTCCAGAGCTGAGATATCGAAACTCAAAAATTCGGCCCGAAAAAAAAACGACAGTGGTACCCCTTACGTTTTTTTTTTTTGGGCGAAAAATTAAGTTTCTCCAATCTTCCAAATTCTGATAGAGGGCCATGAGACTTAGACCTGAGTGCAAAAATGGAGGCTCTAGCCCCTTCCAGAGCTGAGATATCGAAACTCAAAAATTCGGCCCGAAAAAAAAACGACAGTGGTACCCCTTACGTTTTTTTTTTGGGCGAAAAATTAAGTTTCTCCAATCTTCCCAAATTCTGATAGAGGGCCATGAGACTTAGACCTGAGTGCAAAAATGGAGGCTCTAGCCCCTTCCAGAGCTGAGATATCGAAACTCAAAAATTCGGCCCGAAAAAAAAAACGACAGTGGTACCCCTTACGTTTTTTTTTTGGGCGAAAAATTAAGTTTCTCCAATCTTCCCAAATTCTGATAGAGGGCCATGAGACTTAGACCTGAGTGCAAAAATGGAGGCTCTAGCCCCTTCCAGAGCTGAGATATCGAAACTCAAAAATTCGGCCCGAAAAAAAAACGACAGTGGTACCCCTTACGTTTTTTTTTTTTGGGCGAAAAATTAAGTTTCTCCAATCTTCCCAAATTCTGATAGAGGGCCATGAGACTTAGACCTGAGTGCAAAAATGGAGGCTCTAGCCCCTTCCAGAGCTGAGATATCGAAACTCAAAAATTCGGCCCGAAAAAAAAAACGACAGTGGTACCCCTTACGTTTTTTTTTTTGGGCGAAAAATTAAGTTTCTCCAATCTTCCCAAATTCTGATAGAGGGCCATGAGACTTAGACCTGAGTGCAAAAATGGAGGCTCTAGCCCCTTCCAGAGCTGAGATATCGAAACTCAAAAATTCGGCCCGAAAAAAAAAACGACAGTGGTACCCCTTACG